CGACTTGACACAGACACGCTGCCGTGAAAGATTAGTGTATTCTCTTCCTCAAAGCTGTACAAACCTTGGCACTACACGAGCCAAGACGGTCAGTGCTGAATATCAACACCAAATGGACTCAAATTTACTGCACCGGTACCTGTAGTAAATGGTCTGCATTCAGGTCGGCATTTGTAGTAAAACAGCCACAATTACTAAAAATGACAGAGTCTCCCCCCAGCCCAAAAGCAAATCTACATGCAGAAAGTATCCACAGGTGCAATTAAGTTCCTAGTAAGAAAACCATCATTCGGTAATGCAAGCTGCAAGTTTTGATCACTTTAAGTGGACACCACTATCAATTTCAAGCACACAGGGACTCTACACAAAGAAACAGAAGATGATCAACGACTGGGGAAAAAAAATCTCCTCTGCATGCCCAAAATCCTTTTACAGAGCTGAGTCAAGCTGGATTTTCCGCAATGTTGCACTTTCAGCTGTGTTTGCTTAATATTGTGATTTTAATTTCAATGCCCTGAATAGCCAGACTCAGGCTTTTTATTAATGCCTTAATTGGCCCCAGGTAATACACGACTAGTCTTCATGAATATGGCACACGAGCGACACACTGGTGCCCTGCATGGCTGTGCGCTGTGACCAAAAGCATGGAACAGATTGATAACACTGTACCCAAGCTCACTTAAAATGTTATTAGGAACTGTACAGGTAAGTTGGAGAGAAAAACTCGGTAGGCTTATCTAATTGAAAAGAAGAATAAGAAATACATGTATCAACAGAGACAGGAACATGTACATAAAATTTGAAAGCAGCGTCTATTTTGAGGGGCAACCTTTCTCCTTTTTCAAATTTGTGTCATGTGGACAAAAACACACGACATGAGCTCACTGAGTTAGGCCTACATGTACAGTATTTCACTGTAGGTTCCGTATTGGAACAGAACAGAAGTTCTTCTATCAGGAGCATACATGTATTTCTGAGCCTATTGAAAAAGACAGATATCTCTGGGTAAATGTACCAGTCACATGTGTCACTTACATGTACATGTATGTCTTATCAATAAACAGCCAATCGATGTGAGCATCTTTTGATCATCGTCATTTCTTTTTTTTGGTTTAAAAAAAGCGGGGACATCTTGCTCTCTGCGTCACTCAGCACTGGCAAGTCGGTACGGAGACAGCGCGGCCACCGGGTTGGAAAAGCTGCTTTACCTTAAGGCAATCACTGACTCTGATACAGTGTTATTTAATTTGCGAAGGGAAGCGGCGTTAAGTGCTTGACGGTGCTGTGGCAAAGTGCCGCCAGGTTTTTTTTTCCTTTGTTGAATTTCCAAACCTTTCTCAGGACTTTGGCCAAGGACATGATTTGGTTGCACTGACCTATGACTACAGGAACCCAATTTGAAAAACAGAAGCGTCATCTTACGGGTACCTACAAATAAAAATGCTCAATGTTTGATTTCTCGTTCAAGGAAATTGGAAATTTCAACACCAGTTACATGTATGATAAGTTCCTCTCAACATCTCCAGTTTAACTTCACCAAAATATCATCCACTATCTACCGGTACATGGCACACTATGAGGTTTGAGTGTTCACAAATATTCCCAATCTACAACACATTACTTGTCTACCAATGCTTGTCTCATTAATGTAAACAGGAAAGAACTAACACAGAAAGAACTAATACATGAATCCTACACTAACAGCAAGCGCAGCCCTGCACTGTACCCGGTACATGTACAGTACATGTGGGTACGTGTATACACACAGTTTGACAACACCGCGGTCTGCATGCATTTTATGAGCAGAATTTATGCTTTGAGGATCTGAACACGACTCCATGGCAACGAGCAAGCTGAGAGAAATAAAATCAAAGCCCAGAGGAGTAATCTTTTTATATGCAATCTCATTTCCTCCTAAGAGAACCTTCAAAATTACAGACATAAAAATCTAAACCTGATAACAAAATTTTCTCTGATCAAACTCAAACCCCCAGAAAATCACACTCAAGAGAAGCTGGAACCAAAAGACCCAAAAGATCTTAAACTCAATCAGACAACTCACAGGAAACTTTAGCAAAACATTTTTCTATGCCACAGAAGAAACAGTAAACAGTCTGCTGATGAGAGTCCACGCAACAGCCACGTTAAGAGAAAAAACCGCATTCCCTCTCATGTATTACTTTGAGGAACATCACCCCAGGCAATTTACTTTTACAGTAACTTCTGCCAGCGGACAGCTGCCCGATTGTACACGAACAAGTGGCAATGTCTTGTGAGAGGCAAAACATCCTGCTATTTTTTTTCAGCAGGGAGTTTGCATTTTGTCACTACTTTAACAGCTGCAAATATCTCGGCTGGGAGGAAAAAAAAAGTCACCTTGAAGGTTTCTCGGCCTCTGTAGAGCCCCAAACACAAGGAAAGTGCTCCGTGAACAAACTAGCAAGAGAGACAGAGAGGGAAAAATGTACAAACACTGAGCCAAAAGCATACGCCTTTCAATGGATCAGCTCAGGACCGGTCACAATAGAATCGGGAAGGCTCAAACGTGTCTTGTATTCAGCTCAGCTCGGAACTTGTCTTAACTCCCCACAGGGCCCTTGAGAAGTGGAAAGTGGTCTGACCTGGGCAGTTGGTCAGGTTTCAAGTGCATGTACCTGGAACCACACACACAATTCATTATGTCAAGTGTTGAATCTGAATAAAACGTCATTCAATCAAACTCCAAGTAACGGGCACACTCAGTTTCCAACCAGCTCATTGAAAATAACCTTTTAAAAAAATTTTAAGAGTGCCCACGGGATCATGTACAAGTAAGGACTGTCTGCTGTCTGCAATACTACCGATACGTATCACACTTTTTAATACCGCAATATTCATGATAAAAATATTGCGATATTCACTAATATCGTGATATTCTTTGAAGTGGGGTGTTAAGTGTGCGTCATCAAAAGGCAACGGCAATAAGCGGGGACTTTCATAAGGAATGCCAACAACTGCCTCTGACTTCCAGTCGGACTCTAGAAACTGCACCCAAACCACAAACACAAAGGGGGGGGGGCAATAAAACTTCAAAGGCTTTTGGCTGGTGGGTTGACAGTTGTTTAAGTTTCACGTTACCCAGTCCAAGTGACAATGCAGACATGACACTGGATGACTTGTACCACAAAAGATGGCGTGAAATACAACAATATGGTGATTTTCCTTTATTTTCAAAGCATAACAGAAAGAATACCATGGTATAAAAATTTCCCGCACGGTATTTGCCGGTATTTACGGATCACCAGTCTGTATTTTCCGGTATTGAGAAAAAATACTGTCACTATTCGGTAATACCAAAATACTGTCCAAGCCTAGCTCAACAAAATCAAATTCTTAGCCAGTTTGAAAAATTGTATCATTTTTCATATCATTTCTTGTAAAATAATCATCCATCAGACAGTTCACTACCATTCAAAATGTCCGAAGCAAATCTGCACAAATTAGTCACATTAAGCATTACTTGTTGCCGACAGATGTTAACAGAAGATAGAGGGAGAATTTTCTGTACATGTACTGGAAGGAAAATGGAAATTTAGGCATATTTCCCCTTTACTCTTTGCCATTCAGTTCAGTGAAACCAGCCTTTGGTAAACATTTAAACTTATCACTGTTGAAGTCCTCCCCGTTAAAAATACTTTCTGATGGAATTGAAACTTGAATCCAGTTTCTCTTACATCCATGCACGTTCAATGCATACACACAAAAGCATTCCTACATATATTGTGTCTCTTTCTACTGATCAGTAAAAATTAGTAAACTTATACTAGAAATAACATACAGCTTTCAAAACTTCAAAGTGTACTAAGGACATCGTGTACTAAGGACATCGTGTACTGGGGACATCATGAACTAGATTTGAGATAAGACCTGGTTTCTACTGATCAAGCTTCACTGATTGTATGAGTTGATATCGAGGAAAGCTGCAGGCTTTTAACTGTACATACATGTACCGTTGGTACATGCATGACAAACGGTAAAGTACAAATAACAGTACAATGGGTTATGAGTTGAGTAATGAAGCTTGTTAGAATTAAAAGGTCACAGTACAAAGCCAGCTTCACATTTGGACAGGGCTGTTGACGCACATTCTTCTCCTATCCATAAAACCCGCAAATGCAAACTACAAAATGCAGTGAAAGAAAAATGACCTTATCTGCTTATCACCGTTATTATAATTAGTGTCTGAAGCAATGAACTTTCTGAACATGCACTCTACGTGCACACAATGTACATGTACGTGTACAGGTAAGTACATGTACAATGTACAGGCTGGCCCAGCATTGCTAAGGTCTAGGCCATGTGACATACATGTACTGTACAGTACAGCGCTCAAAGTAGCTACAATTAGAAGACAGAGCGGCCAAATGGTGCCCAAGTGTGCCGGACAGGAAATTAAATCCAAGTGACCTTACCTGGGCAAACTGAAAAAAAAATAATGCAGCACTAGGGTAGGGATTTGCCCAGGCCTGTATTTCATGAGTCAAGGCACTTGAAAGACTGTACCGATGGTGGTGGAATTCTTTTTCTGCTTCTGGCAGAGATACCGGATAGCTGGTCAGTTGACTCAGTGTCACTCAAAGTCAGACAGATTATCCAACTCAGGCCAATTCTCAAAGTCTCAGTAATCAAAATATCCAGGAAGCGTACGGACTCCAAGTGGCTCACAACATACAAGAGACACCCATCAGACTTTGATGCAAGGCACCAGACTGTTTGGAACGACTTGAGAATTTTGTGGACAATGAATGCAATGTGGTACCCCATAGGTGTTTCCTATTAAGCACGCCTACAAACATGCATAAACAAAAAAGGAAAAAAAAACAAAACAAACACCCGTATTTCGGACACATTCATCAGCAAACACTGAGCACACTGGTACAGCTCATCTATTCTACATGTCACCAACTGTCATTAGCACAGCCAATTAGAAAAAACACGAAGAAATGCAAAACAATACATACCGACTTGATACAAGCAAGGTACAGCATACAACGATATTGGACAGTATTTTTGGGTCAAACTAAATCCCAGTTCTGTTAAATAATCCCACAAAGGACGGGAACACTTTGAGCCTAAACAAAGTGTATGTACACACATGAGCTGGTGTTGAAGGTATACACGCTCTTTGTGCATGTGCTCTGGAGCTCAGGCCAGTGTGTATCCAGCCAGCACGCTGTCACTGTCAATAATGGGGAACTGCCGGCGAGCGTTTCATGTACATGTATGGTGTGCTGCGCTGGACAAGAGCCCCAGCTTAACTGTTCAGCTATGTGGTAGGTTCCATTCTCTCCAGTAGGGGTGCACCAAGCACAAAGCTGCCAAGGTGTTACTGCGATCACCCAAGGACAGTGTGGTCGCTACTGGATGTCTGTGATATTGTGGTCTCCTTACCCTACCCTAAATTAATAATGGCTGCGATGTTTGGGTTTCGGCTCTATCTGCAAAATGCTGGAGTGTGAGACTTTTTTTCCCCAGAAAGGTTGTGTAGATTATAAACTGGCTTGCAAGTTACAGATAATTCTAGGCAAATGAAAGGTCAGGTTATTTCAACAAAGATACTATGGGAGTCAGGGCACTAGTTTCCCATGCACGTCCAGTTCAATGCACCCCAGGCCACACTGCTACAACTGCTTCTGCAGTGAGATTGAACACGATTCCTTATTAGGAAAACTGTTTCTATTAACTTTCCAGTGAAAGTTTTACATGGAGGTTCCAATGACAGAGTGCAAGAGCATTTCATCGGAACACTGCAGCAGTGCAACCAAACCGCACTACTTATAAAATGATCTTCCTTGGTAATAACGACTTCAAATTTTAGCTAAAGATTAGGTGCTGTAAATTAACTGGTGTCATAGGCATAAACATTGTTTTGAATGAATACGTATATACCTGCCTACTCTGCAACAACCCCTCCAGTAGTCTCAACCTATCTGACCCCACAGCCTAATCCTTCAATTGTCCCAATAAGATCCAACCATGTGCACCCATGTTACAAGTACATGTAAATGCGTCAAAAAACAAAACGGTTCCTTTATCCTTCTGCATCAGGAGATTTGTTGTAGACTATGATCGCTGTGTCCCGGTGGGAGGCTGGAGAGCGAGGTCATCTAGAGCGTATTTCATGAGGAGGGGCCAAATAAAAGTGGGAACTTAAACGCTCAGCCCACCCAAACCCTCATTACAACACAAGTCTGGGAAAAAGTCATATGGCGTTATTGATTCACCGGCCTGATCACCCTTGTAATCCCTCCTCAATAATCCATGGCATTATTGTCTGTTACCTGCCACGCTGTGGCACAAGCGTCTTCAGCAAATTAAATTCTAAGGGGCTATTTGCAGACTGACTGGGATACATTTGGCGTCCTGTGGTGAGGGGTTTGCAGACTGATCTGTCAGTTTTTCACAGAGTAAATAGTTTTATATCGTGCAGTAAAGCACATGAAGAACTCTCGGATACATGCATGCATGTGCACGTACATTTCACATTGTAACAGTCTCACTAAACATGTTATAACATGCAATTCCGCATTAGGGACATGTTATTTTTTACATGGGGTGCTTTGCCATTCACTAATGTCTATTTGCAGACACTGGTACAGCATGCTCAGAGTCATCTAAGGGACGCTACAAAAACACATATCAAGCTTGCTCGGGTGGGACTCCATGACTTCCTGCTCATTACATGTAGAGCGGAGGCATCTCGCCATTCCAACACCAAGCTTGCCGGGGTCCATCGGCCAGTTTGAGTCACCAAAAATGGACCAAGAGTATCATGAATTCCTCCCGTAGGGGAATTTCATTCACAGAGAAACCCTAATGCAAACTGTGCTGAGACGGACCACATACGTGGACTGTAGGAATACAAAATTCCTCCACGGCCAGATTTGGTGCAGCAAGTATCCAGGTGCTGATACAAGAACATGCTCATGCATGCAGTGTGCGGGGAATCACCTCATTTTTAGGTATTTACAAATCAACGAGATTCATCATTTGTTGGAAATATATGTACATGTAAAACATGTACACCAATACGTACATGTAGTAAGTGTTGAAAAATTCAAATCTACATGTGACGGGGCACACATCTTTTCCTACCTCCAAGTATGTACATGTATCACATGTGTGAGGACAATGTACCGGTAGGTGTGTTGAAATTTAGACGTTATTGGGACCAAAAATATCGGGAGAGGTTTTTGTTTCTACAACTGGATTTCAACTTTCATGACTGAAGAACTGTCCCTTAACAGGAGAAGGTAGGCCCATTGGATGGAGAGTAGATACACTCTGCTACTGTCATGGACAAGACAGACTGCACTTTACTCCAAACTCTATCTTGCAAACGCAACCCACCTCCTTTGTGAATCCAACCCACAAAATCTCCAGTGTTCAACATAATTCAGCATACTCCACATGGTACCCCACCAGTGCAGTGTAAACTCAATGTACTTGTACATGATATTAGTACATGTACTTCTACCTGTCGGAAGATTTGTTTGACCAGGCCTTTAATTTGTCTGACATTCAAGGATAAGCACACAGCAGGTTTTTTTTTTTAATCTGATTCCATTTTACTAACAGCTTTTAATGGGTTGATTTTTCAATACCACAGAACCAAGCATGGATCTCATACCACAGTCACAACACAGTGCATGGCTATTTAATTAACTGCCGATCAGCCCTACCCTTTAGCGCTAATCATATTCCAACAAGGAAATATGATGTAATGATATGCTAATGTATCATAAATGCTGGTCAACTGAACTGTATAACCTTAAGCATGAATAGCAAAAAATGTGACAGGTTAAATGTAAAGGGACAATTCAAAACGTTATGAGGGTACAGTCCCCCCCAAAAAAAAACAGTAAGACTAAACCATCTGTTCATGCAATTATAAAGAATTTAACCAATGGTTACTTTTTTTCACCGGTAAACTACCGTAAAATTTGGATACTCACATGGAATACTCTCAAAATGATATTGCATATACACACTGATACGAAACAGATGTGTCAAAACAAGTTGAAAATAATAAAAATAGACTTCAACCTAAATTATATTAACTTAAATCAATTTAGTAGGACCAAACACAAAATGTAGAAAATAAAATGTACATGTACAAGCTATCACTTCTATCATTGTATAACTTCAATACAAAATTGCACATTGATTGTCATCAACAAAACTGCGTACCTAGGACTGAAAATGTACAGTACATGTCCTGGTATGTATGGGACCTCAGAAAATGGTCTAGTATCAAGCATACATGTACAATAATAACAGGTAGCACACATTTTAAATGGTTAACACGTTTAGGCTTTCAATCCCTCGATTTACAATGAAAATATGAGGAAACCCCCCCCCCCACTCATGATCAATATGCGTAATCTCGCCAGCTCACTGTGGGGGAAACACTCGGCCACTAAATAGACGGGTCAAGATGAGCCCCTCGGCAGGATTGTTTTTCCTAACTCAAATGTCAGATTGTCCATCAAATAAGAAGACATAAATCCTCCGTCGAGACTTATCCCCGCTGAAACCTAATAGGGCCCCACTGCGCGCGGGGGCCCTCAGCGCAGGCAAAGTTACTCCTTCACATCCGCTGACGGACGCGGAGTGCACAATCGATAGAGCGTAGGAATGCCAAGCTTCTCTCTTCGATTTTTTTTCCGTGATTTAATTTTTTTGGTCATTTCAACGACTTTTTTTTTCTTTCTTGATTTGAATTTGAAGAATGCATGGGATTAAAAAAAAAAATCAATTCACTTTTCAAGAACAATTTGCCACTGACTATTTCAGTATTAGATGAACTTATAATCTACCGTAGTGCATCCCAGTCATCTGTGCGACCAGTCATATTAGCTGTGCGGAATGTCAAATTCTTTCACCTTCCATAACACCGTCTAGGCTTACAATACGACCGCTGCACATTGTTTGTATTACCAGAACGTGCAATCGGAAATAAGGCTGTTCGTTAAATTCTGGGACCTAGACTTTTTCTTCACTTTTTAGGTAACAATTTGATCACGCAAAAATCCACTTTGTTGCAGAGCACAAAAGTCTGTCACAATTCATATTAACACAGTGTGCATTCATGACAGGTCCAAACAGTACCATTTGTCAATTTGGATGCACTCCACACAAACAAGTGTTCTTCCTACATGACAATGAACCCTAAATCCTTGCCTTGTACAGGTAGATGTAAGCTCTATTTATTTTATCACAGAAATCTGTTGAAATTCCAACACCTATCTTAAGAACAATGCCATTTCTACCTGCAGTTGTGAAATTGACGGAATCACGTCTTCCTCAATTGGGTTTTGTTCAGGGCTAACATCTTAATGGAAGTGTGGAACACCCGACTGATCCTTTGTGGAAGTTCATGGACCTGTACAGAGCAAGGGTGTAATTGATGGACAGGTGTGTGCAATACATGCACAGGCTTGATACAGGTCTCTGAATGATGAATCCTCACTTGCATGACAGACCAGACCATGCCGCCTGGGCGTACTCTGAAGCGCTCATTTGATGTCCTTGGCCTTGTGAAGTCTGGGACTGTAGCACAGCACTTTCCAGAGTGGTATCCATTGTCAACCCATACTATTAAAAACTGCACACCTACAATATCATGTGCATCACTGAACACCACCCTGTATTAAAGGTGTGGTAACAGTACATGTACGTGTTAACAAAGGCTTTTGAAAGCTTTGTGATTGTAGGTGTCAAAGTACTAGACAGATACATATTGCTTTAGCTTCATGCATGGACGTGTACAACTTACACGTATCTTTGATAAACCGTTTCAGATACCGGTAATTTAAAATCTTCCACTGTTAAAAAAACTGACGCTACATTTTCGTGTGGGACGTGTACATGTACCTAGACCTTTCGAAGGCCAGCAAACCCCCCAAAAGAGTGAAGGAAACAGGATGCCTCCCTCAGTCCTGTGAAATCCTGCTTAACTTCCACACAAACTTTGAATTTTCCATGAAGGTTACGGTAAACTTCATTTGTAGCATACCCACATGAACCTTAGCTTTTGATTTTAAACTTAGAATTTGTAGATGTCCCTTACTTTCCAATTCAGGCTGAAGCCAGACAGAACCTCTTACAATCTGCAGTGGGCCATGCAATGTTTTTTTGAAAAATTCATCTTGTGAATAGCAACGGGCAATCTATTACATATTCGGCGCCGTCTTGTCCACACATTACATGTAAATTGCCCCATTA